TGGGAACTTTGTTCAGCTCTTGTGTTCTGCATGCAATAGCAACACAACGCAAGCTATTTTTCGCCATGCTATCGATAGCAACTCTGAAAAATTCCTGCAAAACAAATTCCAGACACGAATGTTTTTGTAATGTGAGATGAAAGGCATAGTATAGCCACACATTTGGTCTTCGTAGGCTATCAGAGAGTGTCCAAGTGAAATTTTAATTCTTTAATACACAAAAAGATCAAAGAGATTGTCATTTCAAACTCTTTAAGTCACCTCACCTTCTGGCTATCAATGGACTGCAGAGTACCATTTGAGTCCATGTATTGTGTACAGCAAGCCAAAACAATCTCTGCTGCTCCCTTCCAGTGGATGAAAACTTCAGAATCACCCTGCAGACATTTAATATTCGCATAATCAGCTTTACAGGATATTTTTAGAGTTCAGCAGTACATAGGGGTGAACTGAAGCAGCATCTTACTACATGCCTCCACAGTAAATAAAAAAAAAAAAAATTCAGTATTTTGGAAAGTGGAGAAAGGATCAAAGAAATTACTCGAAGCACTGCAACACCTCCACGCTTTTTCTCTGAATTAAAAGGGAAAGCATGGATGATAGCAGACTCCGACCTGATGGTCTCAAATTTCATCCCCAACTGCAAAAATAGCTTCTTTTAAGTATACTGCCAATAGAGAGAAAACTATTCCAAAGATGGACCTGCAGAGTAAACAAACATTTGATACCTTATACGCCCAAGACAAGATAGCCTTCTCTGTGGGAGATCCAGAAATCTCCACCTCTCCACCATCCTACAGTAAAATATTACATGAGTACTAATCATCCATCATTTGATAACCATAGGATGAGCTTAGAGTAAAGAGTCAGCATTTGGCCTCGTTTCTTCAATCCATAAGAGGTTCAATAATAGCAGTGTAGAGAAACCACCTTGGGATGAAAAATGTTTCCTGTAGTGTTCTGTGCCACTCCCTCACTTATCAAGGCAACAAGTTTAGGGTGGAGCCCTGAGGGGTTGTCTGCTACATCCATCTTTGATCCTCCAGCATAAGTCTCAACCACAGTCATCTGTAATTTTTCGAGGAGTAAAATTAGCTTTCTAGAGGGTACGATGATTTTCACGTCAATGAAAATGCTCCCATAGCCCTGATGCTGACCTGATTCAAAGTTAAAGTTCCAGTTTTGTCACTGCAGATTGTTGTTGCTGATCCCATGGTTTCACAAGCTGAAAGTCTCCTAACCTGTTTAGCAATTGAAACGTGTTCAGAAAATAACCAAGAAGAAAGAATTAAAGCTAAGAACACCCGTTTAGATTCTTACCAAAGCTTTGTCTGCCATCATCTTTCGCATTGAGTAAGCCAATCTGCATATATGGAGTCAAGAAAAAGTAGATCAACACCTGAAATGTAGTTTGTTATAGTCTGAGTGGTTATTATAAAGGAAGACTCACGTAAGGGTAACTGCTAAGGGAAGTCCTTCAGGCACAGCCACAACCACAATAGTAACCTGAACAAATTCCAGAGTTAGTCCATATGTCTATCGAATAACATAATAAAATATGTGGGATTAATACTTACGGCGATTGTGAATATCTTTACGCAATCATCTACAATGTCACTGATACTTGTCTTCCCTTTGATAAACTGGGTCTCTCCACTAGTATCTTGGGTAGTTCCGGTAAAATATCTGATGAAAACTCGCAATTATAGCTCAACATGGCATGAACTTGTAAGCTAATAGATTTATTGACCAAGGTAAATGAGATTACCTCACAAGAAGAGCCACCAGGACAACAAGAGCCACTGAGAGCCCCACTATGCCGATGAAGGTTGCAAGACCATTTAATCGCACCTGTACCAGATTACCAACTGGAACTGTTAGGCTTCTTCAGGACATTGAGGAGACCCTAACCCAATAAAAAGTGATCAAGATGATATACCTGCAAGGGGGTTTCTTCACCAGTATCCTCTGAGATACTTGCCATCAATAATCCCCACTCAGTGTTGATTCCAACACCAGTAACCTATTAAAAGACTCAGAGATAATTCACTTACTAAGTAACTGAGAACAAATATGTGAAAACAGAGTTAAAAAGGACAAAAGCCACAAAGATTTACCAGCATGTTACCGACTCCATCAGCTACTTTACAACCAGACATTAGAAAAGGGGATTTTTGATCCTTGTGAACCTGCAACAAAGATCTGTGTCACCAAGTAGAAAGAGAAGATAAGCATGCCATTGCACAACATAATGATGAACTCACAATCTTGCTTTCACCGGTCATGCTAGATTCATCAATAGCAAGAGAATGACCACTGATTAGCACTCCATCCGCAGGGACCTAGATGCAAACAGTACATAAGGCCACATAGTCATTTAATTCTGAAACCACGGATGGAATATAAAAGACAAAGTATACCTACCTGGTCACCTATCCTAAGAGGTATAACATCTCCGACAACAACATCATAGATTGAAATCTTCACTGTTCTCCCTCCTCTCATGACCTGTAAGAGTTTTCGTTGATTTTTAGTTATCAACTCAAAAACATATGATTGTTGAAAAAATTAAGATGTGAAAGTAAGAACCTCTAGTTGTATGTTTCTTTTTTCATCATTGAGGTTTTGAAACTGAAGAGATTGGCGATAGTCACTAACAGCTGAAAGAATCAAAAGATAAAAAGTGTAAAGAAAAATTCATCTTAAATGGATTAAGACTAAGATTAGGAATATTTTCAAGAAACTTGTAACAGAAAACAGATACAAATTGCAGGAAGCATGTATATACCTGTAACAACGATGACAAGCAAAACTGCAAATGCAATGCTTCCACCATCAAGCCAACCTTCTTTCAAACCCTGATGAAAGTAGATGAGACATACAAATTAGTGCAGTCCTGACTTTGAAAAACTAAGAATTTAACAAAAAGGAAAGCATACCTCTGTCTTGATTCCCAGTGCCAATGATGTAATAGCCGCTATGATCAAGATGATGAGAGTTAAATCTTGCCAAGCTTCCCAGAGGAACATCTTTTGGACAAACATAAAGTCAAAAATGTATGAGTTATCCACTAACTGGTAATTAAACACCGTGGAAGAAGAAGTTATAAAAAGACTTTGCTTACAAAAAAGTTCTTGCCCTTCTTCTTTGGGTACGTGTTAGATCCAAATGCATTCTTCCTATCTATCACCTCTTTCTCATCCTCATTGATTCCTTGCTCCAGGTTTGACTTCAACTTTTCTGCCACACCTTTGACCTGAAAGATCATATATATAATGTCAGTATCATGAAATCTTCCTGTTTATAACTCACAACGAACCGCAATACAAGAGTCTTGAATCAGACGTACCCCTCCATGTTGCTGCAAATTGGACATGTTCTGGTTCCTGGTCATTGACACAAGTTTTTCAAGATCAATGTCAAAGTTACCAGTTGAAGCAGCTGGTGTTGATGATGATCCAAACGCTGATTGATCCCCCAAAGAAAGTTAAAATTAATCATAGGAAACCAAAAACAGAGATATGACTGAATTATGTGAGATCATACCAAGTTGTTGTTCCCCAGCCAATTTAAAAAGCAAAGCAGCCTGATTCATAAAAGGAAATGACAGACGTGAGATCAAGAAAACAATCAACATTGTACAATAGAAGAATTATATTTAGAAATAAAAAAATGTACCCTAATGACTTGAGCATGAGCTCTGATCATCCTCCTTCGATTATCATAATGTTCTTCTTTGTTAAGATCCAAAGTGTATCGAAACCGACGTGATGCGTTCAACACAAGAGCCGCTTGCTGCAAATGGATGATTCACAAATCAAATCCAATGTTTACACAAATCTAACCAAAGAAGAAAGAGAAAGATATATACATACCCTCCAGCGACGGAGAGATTCAACAGAAGCGTTCTTGGTGTTATCAATGTCAAAAGGATCATCAGGATCATGTTGAAGCTCTTCGTGATCAGAAGAATGGTCTTCAGTTTTAGCAGAACCAGCTTCCATATCGTCGTGACGACCTGACATTGACGTCAGAAGCAATCCGTTGCTCGACGAAGTGCTCATCCTTCCTTCCTTCCGCTCACCCAGCTTTACTTCCTCTTTTCAAGAAAAAGTATCTATCTCTTGGGAAGAAGCAAGAAAGAAACAAAAAAAAAGAAACGCAAAGAGAGAAAGAAAAAATAGAAACGACCTTTTTGATTTGGTCGTTATGAAATGGTGTGACGGAGAGAAAGGTCTGCCTAACTCGTAAAAGAGAGAGAGATGAGAAGGCAACCGAAAAAAAAAGAAAAGAGAAACCGAAACACACACTCTCTCTTTCTTCTTACCTCTCTGTCATTCACAGAGAAAATAAAGAAGAGAAAACTAATTTTGAGCTTTTTTCTAACAAACACACCCCAAAAAGAAAACAAAAACTAAGAAGAGAGAGTTTCAATGGAATGAGTTCATTACTATTTTTGGTTTGGTTTGGCAAAATTTGTGGAAAGTTTGTTTTTTTTTTTTTTTTATTTATGATGAAGAAGAAAGAGATTTTCCCGGGAAAGAAGAACATGGTGGCATCTCTCTTTACCATTAAATTTAACATGGCCGCTTAAATATTATAAACAAAAACTATTATTATTCATCTGTTCTTAGATCTAAGTCTAACTATAATTTTGTTTGTTATTTCTTGCCCAATTCATTGGGAAAATAGACAAAACATAAGTTTCCCTAGAAAGATAATGGAGAAAGAATTTGAAAAGAATAAAACAATGTGAGAGAGAGAGAGAGAGAATAGTGAAGTTGCTGAGAAAGTTCGTATTAACCTGATGGATGATGATGAACGTGTGTACGACAATAAGGTCACTTGTGTTGCACGACATAACCAATCATTGTTTCCATTTTTATATATTTAACATTCCATTATCTCTACTTAGTACCTTTGTAATTAAAATATTTAACTACCTATAGTCAACATATAAGTTTTCTGTCTGAATAAATAATCAAACACAGATGCGAGACTGAAGCAAAGGCTTTTTTCAGCTTCTAAATAAGTGAAGAGTAATCTTAAAGTTTATAAAAGATTCAAAATGTGTTGACAAAGACTGAGAGATTACAACCGAGATTATGGACCCATTGAAACCCTAAACCTAACTCAGATTCGATTCCGTCATAATGGAAATGATAACAAATGTTTTTTTTTAGATCTTTTCTTACTTGCAATGGTTACCCGGTTCTCACTGTGAGTTGCTCATGTCACCAGCTACTCCGATCATTTGATCAGCCTCAAGGTTTGGATCCTGCAACCAAGTGATTTTGAAACAAAAAAAAGATATGAATGGTATGTCCTTCAGAGCAAATCAAACTCCAGCTCTATGGATTACTGAGGTCGCTCACCTCATTCTTATTCACAGGCAGATTCTGGGGTGTTTGAGGAGGAGGGACTTTGGATAAGTCTCTAAGAGTCCCCTGATATTATTATGTCAAAAGGGAATGTTATTGTTAGATTTACAGTCGGATAGATAGGCCAGATCAATGACCCAAAAAGTGATAGATTACGAGGTTATCAATTTGAGTAAAGATACTATTGGCTAACCTTGTTTGCCCACATTAGTCCACATGCATTACAAAGTGTTCTTGGCCCTTCAGGTCCACGTCGCATCATTGGCGTTGACTTCTCACTTGTTCCACAGTGCCGACATCTTAATATGTTCACAGCCATTTAAAGAAGAATAAGAACAGAGATAAATAAAGCTTTGTCAACTTAGGTATATGCCAAGCTCATCAATAATGACTTGCAACAACATAGTCAGCTCAATCCTTTCTACCCTCTGACAACTAGTGATGTCATGATGACAGGGTATACGTTTCAGAATTGAAGTATATATAGACAAAATTTATGGAAGTGAATGTCCTAAAATGGTTACCAAATAAATTATTTCCATGTTCTAGAGTTGATTGAGGTTTTATAACGAGTTGGCTAAGGTTAATATAACTTCTGTAAGTAATTTAAATCATATTTCAACTTACAAAATCTCTGGCTTCTGAGCCTCACTCCCTTCTACGGCCCAGCTCTGGCTTGACCCCCAATCCGATCCAGTGGATGCAGAATCATCATTGCTTGACTTAGCCGATGTGAATTGACCTTTCTTACGCTGCATTCTGCACGAGACAAAGAAACCTTAAGTACAAAACAGACCTATCTCAAAACCTTACAGACAAAAACCCTAGTAGTTGACATAAACGTACCTCAAGGCTACCTCTTTCCTGACTGTGTAGCGAATTGTCTTATCAAAATTCCTCCCTTTTCGTTTCTCCCTAAATCTGATCAAAGATGCTAACCGCTGTGGGACAGTAAGCCTTTGAGGAGTACCAGATAGACCCTGGTTCATTTATTAGTCAGCCACAAACTCGAGGAATAAACTAAACTCCCATATATGGCATTGAATCTTTTATTACCAGTACCCTATTGTTCTGATGAGGTGATCCGAGGGATGTTGGGAGTGTCTGTGGTACTTCACGTCCACCAAGTAGTAGAAGCACAGCTTGAACCTGCATTAAAATAATGAGAAACACTTCAATACGCGGAAAAAAAACAACCAGCTGGATAAGTTGTCCATATGTATCCATAACTAAACCATCAAAGAACCAAAATTACTACAAAATCGAAGTTACCTTCTCAGGCGAGACATGGTCAAAAACATAAACTTGTCCCTGGAAGGACAACGTCAATTGATCTCCATTTTCAATACCACGGTCTACAACTTCACCGCGATTATCAGCTAAGTTTCCAGGGTGAGAAGGAATGTCTGTCTCCACTCCTTCATCCATCCCACCATCAGTATGGTCATCCATCATACCGTCTCCATTATCGATATGGTGCAAGCCCTGATGTTCATACTGCATATGCAATGGATCCTGAGGTACGCCAATGTGCATTCCACCATTGTTTCCATGAAGTCCATTCATGGTCTTTATTCGTCAATCTGTTACCGATAACATTCAAAGGAACATAATCAATAACATTCAAAGGAACTTAATATCAATTAAGACTGGAATATTACTAAAAACGAAAAGCTAGATTGTCAAAACAGTTTAGGTTAAAGAATTAAAGAAACTCAAAAATGGTCCATGTACTTTTCACATAATTTGAGTCTGCAAAATACAAAGAAAAGAAAAAAACAAAACTATCTCCACCTAAGGGAAAGGAACCTTTTCCAAGTAAACGGATAGTCACAATTCTTTCCCTACTGTAACAAATGTTTAGCTCTTACGATATGAAGTATGATTCTAAGTTCCCAGAAGTTGGAGTGGTCTTTTAAGCTCTTTAGACAGAATAAATCAGCACTGAAAGTACAAAGGAAGTTTCTTTCATAACAAGAGTAGATGAAAATAATATAATCTCGAGTAACAACAACTAACAACAGTCAAAACACCTTAAACGCTAACAACATTTATCCAAATCCAGCAACGAAAAACCATTGTAGCATCATCGCATTAGCAACACAGAACCTACATGGCATCAATCAGATCGAATTGCAAAAAGAAAAGTCTCCTTATTTCACGCTCTTCCAAGTCTCAAACTTTAAGCAAAAGAACAAATTAGAGAGAAAAATTCCAAAACCCCAATATATAACTAGTTCCAGCTAAAAACCCAACAATTCAAACTAGAGTCCACTTCCTATATCATACATACAAAGATTTCTCACTTCCACAGGGGAATATAAAACAAAAAAAAAAAAAAAACTGAAATTGAGGTCAAAATGAGTACCTTTTGTTCAGAGCAATCCAAGGGAGAAGGATGAAGAACCTTTTCAAAGCTAATTCACCCAAAACAACGAAAGATAGAAGAGGATTTGATTGTAAAAAGAGCGAAAAGGTTTAGGGAAAAAACCAAAAGGGGTAAACGGAGACGAGAGCGAAAAAAAAAAATATATAGGAAGCTCCTTTGATTGATTTTGATTTTTGATTTTTTTTTTGGGTCTGATGATTGTAGCGAAATGTAATATTTTTCCATTTTTCTATAAGACGCCGCCGTTTTAATCAAAAACCGTAAACGGCGTCGTTTTGTCGAAGCATTATTTTGGACCCTTCGACACATTATGATTGATTACGCGGAACCAAGGTCAACTAGATTCTTTATAATCGACTCTTTCTTAACCTAAACCCTTTCTTGTATATGACCTGATCATTCTCTTCTCCTTGCAGGTAATGATGGAGTTCTACCGCTAGGTTTTGGTTACTCATCTTATTTGGATTTATATTTCATCATTTTGTATCTATACATGTTGCTTTCCTCACAGCTTTTTAACTATAATAATTTTTTGTACATTATATTTTTGGGGATGAAGAATCTGTTCCTGCAGCTAATAATGGCCGTGATGACCGAGGCAACGAGACAGGTAGATGAATTGTTGTTTTGGTTTGCTTTCCTCGCAGCTTCTTACTTTGTTTTCGTTTATGGGTCTAGATTTTTACATGGTTTGTTTCTTTGCAGAGTATTTTCTCTCAAAGGTTCAAGACTCAGTTTGGTTGAAAAATTCTTATATCCAAAAATATATAATCTTCGAGCGTAGGTAACTCATGTCAATAAAAGAAACTATGAATTAATTGATGATCAAGACAAATATAGGCTCAATTTGTAAGAATGTACGCCACAAGTCGTCGAGAACAAAGCCTAGAATCATTCCAGAACAAATATATATATATATATATATATATATATATATTTAAATTAGAAAGACCTATATATATACATCTTGAAAATCATAATACTTGATGTAAAAACAGTTTTTTTTGTTTGAATTAATTTTACATTCAATTCAAAAAAGAAAATCATAATACTAAATTATTGTGACAGTTTCAAGTCGTTAGCTCTTGTTCCGTCTGATTCCTCCAAAAACTAATTTTGATGAACTGTCGATGGAAAAAGACATCATAACTAGGCAGAATATGTCAATCATGGAGAATAGTTAATGCATAGACTAACGTGTGACAATCACAAGGCCATGAACTGACTTGGTGCTTCCCGTTTACCTCCTCCATCTTAAAGAACTAGATACTATCTTGGATTTGAACTAAACTTGGAACATAGATGAGAAGACGTGGATTATGAGATAATCCGTGTGTAGGTTTTGCACCATGATGATACAATTGATCGATTAATTTACCATGTTCCACAATGTGTATGATATTCTTGGAGAACCGGTTGGGACTATGACAAAAAACTACAACAGTCTTCTCCTTCACCTGGTAGGGGAAGAAACTCACCCCTTCATTAAAATGACAACGATAGCGTGGACCAACGCCCTGGATTAATATTGGGAACTTGTTCCATGACAATTCTCCGTTGTTCTCACTCTTCGTTGCTATCCATAAGTCAACGTTTGTTCCGGTCGGATATGTATCATCAGTAGATAACATACAAAGTTGTTGTCCTTGTCCAGTCACTGATAAAGCCAAATGACCATCACACTCTGGGAGAGACTCATTTCTGAATCTCTCTGTTGAGAAATCAAAACTTACTAAGGAATATTGTTCATATCCATCAAACCAGTAAGTTATTCCGTTTACAGACATGCCACTGTTAATATTTGGATCCAAAAATTCTGTGGTCACACCAAGACCCCTCCAAGAATTAGAGGTACAGTCATAGATTTCATACTCGTGACGTATCTGGCTAGGATTGACAATATCCTCCCACGAGATTTTGGTAAAGTAACGTTCTTCGCGCGGATCGATAAGACAGTCCTGCCTCAATATTTTGTACTTGTTGCAAGAGGTTTTACCGAGAGCATAGCGGTCATTTTTCTTGTAGGAATACCTTGGTAATTGAATCCACATGGTTTCACCTGAACATGGATTCCAAACCACCAGTCTATAGCCCTTGGTTTTGCATAGTAATAAGCCATCACAGTGAAAGACGTTGCGTATATCGACTTCTTCCGAAGAATTATTAGAAAGAGGATCTTTTAGGCTTAAATGACATGTTACATTAACAGATGGAGTAACGTTAATCTGATTTCTTAGGAGATTGATGAGTTCCACTGAATAAACCCTATGATTAATCAACACGAGAGCCATAGAGCGCTTTGGAGTATTGGCGAAGTGCTTCTTAGCAAGTACCCTCCCATATTTGATCAGAGCGTTCCATTCTTTGGATGTTGATCGTAACCTTGCCAAAGATACAGCTGGAACTCTAGAGAGTATCTCCACTACCAAATCCTCAGGAAGGTTGCTGAACGACGTCATCTCTCTCACACACGACTGCTGTGATTAAACCAAGTTCTAAAGAACAGCCACAAATGGAGAGGTAAAATCAAGATAGATGGTCTTTTTTTCTTCTTTGGTTTGTTATGACTTATTGACTTACTCTATAAATATATATACAGTACGTGTAAATTGTTTTTCTTTTAACTTTCACTCTAATAAATATGGGAAGATTTCGTCTTTTTGGTCCACTTTAATTTTTCTACTTCTTTTTCTTTATTTACTTTATATAAATATTTTGTAAATGTAAATCATATTAAATTAAATTTTCTCTACAATTAATTATTTATCATTAATATTTTTGGTTATCTATATATATAAAGTTAGCTTTTTCTCTCTTCTCATGATGCCACCTAAGCATCCACCTAAGCCACATTTTTGTTTAAACATTAAAATAAATTTAAAACATTCATTTAGTGCATATTTATGTTACTTATTTAATTAATAGAAAATTTATATACATAAAAATAAATTATGTAAAAAAAATGAAATGTTAAAATAAGAAAAACAATACTTAAATTTTTTTTATTAGTGGTAATAATATAATTCAATTTTCATTTTAAATTGATCATAATTTAATATTTTAAATATGTTACTGAGTTTTAGAATGAAAGTAAAATTTAAATTTATGGTAGACTAAAACAGCATTTATGTAATTGTATATAAAAAATTATAAAGAGGAAAAATAATATGAAAGTGAAATATTAGTTTATAACATGATCAAAAAGAAAAAAATGATATTTCATAAATTGAATCAAATGCTTTTAATCCAAATTTGAGTATTGAAAGATAATAATTAAAGAGAATATACTTATAACATTTTTTTGAAAATAAATTAAAAAAATAATAAAATATCACAATATGAATAAAAAAATCAACAAAACAAAATTATAAACCTTCCGCGCGTAGCGCGGGTCAACTGCTAGTATTTTTGTAAGATTGAGTACAACTATTTACATTGAATTTTAATTGGATATGCATTTAATGTTACATAAAAATATAACCAAAGTCCAAAGAAATAAAAATTAAATGTGGAAGAAAAGAAAGCTATAATAAGAATAAATTTTAGCAAAATATTACTATATTTACGAACTAAGTAAAGAAAAGAAATATAATCCGTGTGGGCAAAAAAAAAAGAGAAAATTGTGGGGAATGCCATGAACAGTACCAAATCTTCTTTAAAATGCCATTTTTCATAACTCCTTTCAAAATATGCCATAGATCCAATGTAAAAGACCATGTTACCCTTCTCATTTTCTTTTTCTTCTTCCAACAACAAATAGTTCTAATAGAACAGATTCGATAGACGAACTCCGGCGGACAAATCCGGCAGACAAATCCAGTGGACAAACTCCGGCGAGGCATAGCCACTTCCGGTGATAAAACAAGTGATGCGTTTATGGTGGACAAGATTCATTTCTCTATAGATGGACAACATTCGACGAACCAATTTTGGTGGACTAGACTCGAAATAGTTATGTCGGATCAGATCTAGTGGACCAGATTTTGTGGACAAGATCTAGTGGACCAGATCTTGTGGACAAGATTTCTTTTTTATTTTGATTTGTTTTTTCCAAAACATTTGCATGAGGCAAAATCGTACATACTAAATTCTTTGTGGCAGGATTTGAAATGAGCTTTGAAAAATGGCACTTAGAGAAGATTGAGTTTCAAAACTGGCATAGATGACAAAATTCCCAAAAAAAAAATACAAGATCGTCCCATATTTAATTAGAGTGTAAAAAATAGAAGATCTACTTGGTTCCTATTCTATCTCTATAGTCTTTCTTATACATATGATCTTAGCTTCTCTTTGTCTCTCTGTCTTTCACTTGCTTGTTTTCTCCATTTGTGGCTTTCTTTGAAAGTTGGTTTAATCACAGTCGTGTGTGTGAGAGAGATGAGTGAGATGACGTTCAACGACCTTCCGGAAGATTTGGTAGTGGAGATACTCTCTAGGGTTCCTGCTGTATCTTTGGCAAGGTTACGATCAACATCCAAATACTGGAACGCTTTGATTAAAGATGGGAGAGTACTTGCTAAGAAGCACTTTGCTTATGCTCCAAGGCAACCTAGGGCTCTCGTGTTGATTGATAACAGGGTTTATTCAGTGAAACTTAATCTCCAAGAAATCCAGAATAACCTTGCTCCATGGCAGACCTATTCACAAGTTAGGGAGGTCAGCTGACCTGGTGACTTTTTTAAATTTTCCTTGTTATTACTAAGAACAAACACATTTACCAAAAAAATTTGTTGTATCTTTACTTATACTTGACCTGGTTCAATATCCATCCTAGGTCCGCTATTGGCTCCATCTGTTAAAGTAACATGCCACTTTAGTCTAAAAGATCCTCTTTCTAATCAATCTTCTAAAGAAGTTGATATACGCGACGTCTTTCACTGTGACGGCTTATTACTATGCAAAACCAAGGACTATAGACTAGTGGTTTGGAATCCATGTTCAGGTGAAACCATATGGATTCAATTACCTAGGTGTTCCTACAAGGAAGAGGACTGCTATGCTCTCGGTAAATCCTCTTGCAACAAGTACAAAATCTTGAGGCAGGATCATCTTATCGATCCTAGCCAAGAACGTTACGTTACCAAAATAACGTGGGAGGATATTATTAATTCTAGACAAGATCGTTACGAGCACGAAATCTATGACTTTACCTCTAATTCATGGAGGGGTCTTGGAGTGACCACCGACTTGTTCATTCCTGAAGAGATTTACAGAGGCACATCTGTAAATGGAATTACTTACTGGTGTGATATAAATAAAGAATCATTAGTAAGTTTTGATTTCTCAACAGAGAGATTTAGAAGTGAGCCTATCCCAGAGGGTGAGAGTCCTTTGGCTTTATCAGTGACTGAACAAGGGCAACAACTTTGTATGTTATCTACTCATTCCACATGTGTAATGGAAACCAATGTTAACTTATGGATAGCAACAAAGAGTGTGAACACTGGAGCAATGTCATGGATAAAGTTCCCAATATTTCAGGGAACCGGTCTACGCTATCGTCATCATTTTAGGGAATGGGTGAGTTTCTTCGCCCACCAGAAGAATGAGAAGTATGTTGTAGTTTCGTGTCATAGAACCAACCGGCACTCCCAGAACATCATACACATTGTGGTAGATGGTAAATTCATAGAAATGGGTCATCATGGTGCATAACCTACACACGAATATTCTCCTACCCCACATCTCCTCGTCTATGTTCCAAGTTTGGTTCAACCCCAAAGTGGTATCTAGGCAAAAGGGAGCACCAATTCAGCTAGTGCACGGACTTGTATTTGTCACACTACTTTCTATGCAATATATATCTAATCCAACTCTTGATATATTTATAAGATACTATGCATTGCTAGTTAATTTATTACTTGTTTTCGATTTTGAAATTAAGTTGAATGATGCCGGTTAATTATAACATTTTAAAATAATACTCATGAAGTCTTGAATTATATATGCATCTTGTCTTGATCATCAAAATTCTTTTGATATCTTATTTCTTAGCACCACGTCACTTTGGTTTTGACGAGGTTACTTGGAGCATCCTTATTGCAAGGATCTTAAGATTTGTGTATAAATCCCATATTACAACTCTATAACCATATCAAACAAAAGGACACGACGCTCGACCTGAAACAAAAGTTAGGGTGACACACTCGACGTTCCTTCAAGTCTTTAGGATCATATCATTCATAGACAACCAAGTGGTATCACTGGTCATGGGTGTTCACATAAAAGAAAAACCACAAGCACTTTGATGATTATTTATATGCTCGCTAAAACAAAAGAAAACCAATAAACAAAACTCCTAGGATAAATAAAAATAAGTGTGTCAAAGATAAATTACTAGCTCTGATACTTTACTTTTGCCTCCTCCAAGAACTAGATACTTCATTGGATCTGAACCAAACTTGGAACATAATTAAAGAAAATTGGGAATTCAGATTCTTCACAAAGATGATACCATTGTATTCGTATGTATGTATTCTCTCTCACACTGCGTAAGAATATGTCCTTGGAGACCCCGCAACCCACTAAAATTTTGATCTTATGGTCGGCCAAGAAACTCATCCTCCCAGAAAGCTTGGAATTAGTTTTGGCTGTTAGGACTTTGCTCCATGATATGACTCCGTTACTCTCAATCTTCGCTGTTACCCATACATGTAAATCTAATGGATTCTCGTCTGGATGAGTTAGTAGACAAAGTTGGTCCTCTCTAACCAGTGATAAATCCCTAGCACAATGCGGAAGAGGCTGAGGAAGAGGCAGAGTTTGGAATCTCTCGGTTGAAAAATCAAACCTTAGTAACTCAAAATCTTTTCCATCAAGAGTTTCATGGAGCCAGTAAGTATTTCCCTTGACAGACACGCCCCAACTCTCTGGTAGCTAGGATCGAGTCGGTAGGCACACCAGCGACCCGCCATAAATTAGAAGCAAAGTCATAGATTTCGTAGTAATCACCATCCTGTGGTCATGCTCAAAATTTTGAAACAAGAGGATTTGTTGTCATCGTAACCGAGAGCAAATAAAAAAAAATCCTCGAAAGAAGTTGTGGGTTGGATCCACCTGGTTTCCCTTGAAACCGGATTCCAAACCACCAGACTATTATGGCTCTTGACACTGCGACGGTATGTATATCAACTTGTTGTTCTGAAAGAGGATCCTTGAGGCTGAATTGACCTGTGACCTTTGCAGATGGAGCAACGTTGTTGTTATTGCGAACTCCATGGAGATCAATGCTCACTGAATAAAGCCTAGAATTAAGCAACATGAGAAACAGATGAAGCTGCCTTGGAGCATTAGCAGAGTGCTTCTTAACAAAACTCCCTTCTTTGAAGAGAGCGTTCCATCTTTTGGATGTCGATGGTAGTCGTGCGAGAGAAGCCGCCGGAACCCTAGAGAGTATCTCCACTACCAAATCCTCCGGAAGATCTAGTATGTTTCTCTTCTTCTTCTTCTTCACCATCTCTCTAAAGCGACGGTGACATGTATTAGAAATATATTTTAGAGTTGAATGAGTTATATATAAAAACGAGCGAGCAAGAAAGCGGCGGGTTTATATTTTAGAGGTGAATATTTTTTGGTAACTTCAGTAAAAAAGTTTATAGTATGTATGTAGTGGTGAATATATATTAGATATCGAATTCTGAATAATATAGTTTCTTCCCTAGTTGCACGACGATGATGATCCCACTTGTGTTGTACGTACATTTGTCTTTGACTTTCACAACGTGTTATTAAGATCTTGTAGGGGACCTCCGTGTGTTTATGTATCTCGTGTTCGAATCTCACTGTTACGAATGAGAGAGATTGATTTGGTATTTTCCTTTTCTAAATGGCGTGTGAGAAAAATCAGAAAAATGATCCTCCGAGAGTCAAGTCAAGTCACCCAATTTTTGTGTGTTTTTTTCTCTCATTGACTCATTGTTTAAGGAAAACCAAAAAACCCAAAAGCAAGTCAGAACCACCAATAAAAACAAACCGAACCCAAAACCGAAACCAGCTGATTCAAACCGGATCATTCCCTCTCTTTACTCTCATCCGATCTCTTTTTCTCCTTGTTGTTTAATTCATGGTTTCAATTTCTTTCTTCTACTTCATTTTTTTTCGAATTTTTGTCAGCTCCGAGATCTGATCTGTTCTTCGGTGTTTGTGAATTGAGGAATTGATAGATGGCGAGGAATAAACTTGTAAGTGGTGGTGGTAGTCATGGGATATGGAAATATTTCAACCCAGCATTTTATCTCCGACGACCAAGACGTCTTGCTTTGCTTATCATCCTCTTCGTCTCTGTTTCCATGGTTGTTTGGGATCGTCAGTCTCTTTCCCGCGACTACCAGGTTCTTTCCTTTCTTCTTCTTAATAATCTCAATAGCCTCTCTCAATCTGAATTTTGGGTGTTAAGAGATAGCTCAAGCACCATCATATCTCTCAATTGAGTTTCATAAAGTTTCCTTTTTTTGATTTTTTTTTTCTTCAACTTATGTGTGTGATTTTATAATCTCTGCTGACTTTGCAGGTTGAAGTTTCCAAATTAAATGAAGAAGTTGTGCGGTTGCAGCAGATGGTAAAGCTTATTTCTTCTCCTTTGATTATTCCCAATTTTTCCTCCTTTTTTCGCTTTTTCTTAATACACAGTGCCCAATATTAATGTGGCATTTATGTTTCTTGGGGTATATATTTGGTTTTGCAAGACTTTGGTTGACTAATGATTTCAAATTTTGCTGTGTGTTTTTCTGCTAGTTGGAAGAGATGAAAAGCGTCACTGAGGATATGTCTGTGAAGAGTTTGAACGATGTCCAGGAAGATCCAGTTGATGCCCAGCGAATGCAGAGAGTTAAAGAAGCAATGATTCATGCTTGGAGTTCTTATGAAACGTATGCTTGGGGACAAGATGAGCTTCAGGTACAGTTTTAATTTTTACATAGTGACAGTGGTGGTTTCTACAAATTTTAATTGATCTTCCAATTTGGTGCCTACTTTTGAATTTGTATGTTTAGCTACAATGTTATCAGCTTATGTTAACTTCCACCATTTCTCAGAGAAGTATTGTCATGTTTAACTAGTTAAAATGAGAAATATATTTCTGTGAAGCTATTTTGTTTCCTTTTTTGTCTGCATTATATCAGCCCCAGACAAAAGATGGCGTTGACAGCTTTGGTGGTTTGGGAGCAACTATGATAGATGCGTTAGACACACTCTATATAATGGGTCTAGATGAGCAGTTTCAAAAAGCCAGAGAGTGAGTAGATTTCTTCCATCCTAGACAATGTTTAAGGAATTCTTCTCCGCATGATTGTTATAAACAGGCTTGTCTAATCTTACTGAGAACAAGATTTGACATGCTATTGAAATCCAGAGCACTTAAATTCAGAAACCTCTATTATAAAACTAAAAAGTGGAAAAAATATAATTGAAAATGCTATTGAATCTGTGTGCAATGTTCAATTTTGACTGTAACAGGTAGCCTGTTTTAAGACAATGTAGAAACTGTTAAATTATCCGGGCTATAACTGCAATTTTGTCGGTACATCTTTCCCAGCCTTCATTTGCTTATTGTCTTTCATTTGCAGTTGGGTGGCAAGCTCATTAGATTTCGACAAGGATTATGCCGCCAGTATGTTTGAGACAACCATAAGGTTGCATTTAACAGGTTTACCTTGTTTTTTTCTTACTTGTACTAAGAAGAGGCATCTTGTTTAGGTTATTTGTTGTGTGGTGTTAACAGAATATGTGGAATGGAAGTATAGTATCTGCGCTTATAGCTTTTCTTTTTATTGGCTTTCAGAGTGGTAGGAGGGCTTCTCAGTGCTTATGATCTTTCTGGGGATAAAATTTTCCTCGAAAAGGCTACTGATATTGCAGACAGATTATTGCCTGCATGGGACACTAAGTCGGGTATACCATATAATATTATCAACTTGAGACATGGAAATGCTCATAATCCTACATGGGCCGGGGTATGTCCTAGTCATTTAATGCCTAGTTTTCATATTCCTTTTAAAGCCTTAGGCTTTGGATGCTTACTCAATGAATATATATTTCCTCTTCTTGTCTTGCGCATGTTCGTATGCTTGGGAACTATGTAGAGATAGTGGCAACTAGGTTCGTCAATAGAAGATGACTTTGTTGTCTGTCGTTTGTTTTTCTCTGGTTGACTAGGATCTCTAACATGTTTCTAAAGTAAATTGTAAGAGGCCAAGGAAACTTTAAGATTTTAGTTCCAATCACTTTCCTAGATGTTTCAGCACTCGCCAGGAACGAACTGTTCTGCTTTTCAAGTTATGTGACAATTAGCATTCTGTTTGTGTCTAGACTGTTTTAGAGTTTAGTGATAAATATCATGATAAAAGTTAAACTTCTTCATTAACTACTGTTGGTATTGATTCACCAGCAAGTTAATGTTTAATGTTTATAGATTGGGTACCATCTGATCTGTTTACGTATGTTCAATTACATGTGGTCTTTCGGTTTAGTTGATTGCTTACTTCTCTCTCGTACTAGGGAGACAGTATTCTTGCCGATTCTGGTACTGAACAGCTCGAGTTTATTGCTCTTTCCCAGAGGACGGGTGACCCAAAGTATCAGCAAAAGGTGCATGTCTCCATAACTTGTAGAGCTATATTTTCAGCGAATATTCTATATATTTGTAATATATCTTATTTAGGTATTTCAGTTGGCAATAGGTCAGGAATCAGGATACATATTGTCTGAAATAAATTGCAACTCAATGGCTGACCTGTTTGTAACTCGTGTCTCAGGTAGAAAAGGTTATTTCAGTACTAAATAAGGATTTCCCTGATGATGGTCTACTTCCGATCTATATAAATCCCGATACAGCTAAACCATCATACTCTACCACGACATTTGGTGCCATGGGAGACAGGTTTTTAACTTGATTATGCTCTTCTGTCCTCTTCTGGGTTTGTTTTCATTCATCATATGATGGCAATAATTTTCTTGCAGCTTTTACGAATATTTGCTCAAAGTTTGGGTGTTTGGGAACAAAACTTCAGCAGTGAAACACTATAGGTAAGTTTTAACTCTAGTCTATTGAGTATATATGTATGTATTTCTTATAAATCAAATGGTAAACATAACACTGGAACATTTAAAAGCTGATCAAATTAACTCAGCTAATGTCACCCAGCTGCTGTCACATTTCTCTGTCTGCTTGATATCTATGTGTTTCAATTCTTTGCTGGTCTTGTAGTTTCTATATATTTTAGCCAAAATATAATAATTAGTACTGTTTTGGCTTGAAATATTTGCATCAGAGATATGTGGGAGAAATCAATGAATGGTCTGCTAAGCTTGGTTAAGAAATCATCACCTTCGTCGTTTACATATATCTGTGAGAAGAGTGGAAATTCTTTGATCGATAAGGTAAGCTCGTCTGTTCTTTGTTTTTATTGTGATATGTCAAAATTTCGCTGCCTGGCATTTTCAATCTAAAGTTCGTTCTCATCGATATTCAGATGGACGAATTAGCATGCTTTGCTCCCGGAATGTTGGCTTTAGGAGCATCTGGGTATAGTGATCCTGCTGAGGGAAAGAAGTTTCTCACACTCGCGGAAGAGGTAAACTTCAGAAATTCCCGAACTTTCTGCTTTTAAGCCGTTCAACTGATTTAGGCTGTCGGAGCTATAGCCTTGATTGATATTTTCTCACGTATCTGCAGCTTGCATGGACATGCTATAATTTTTACCAATCGACACCAACAAAACTGGCTGGGGAGAATTATTTCTTCAACTCTGGGAATGTATGTTGTCTGCTTGTATTTTCCTACAAAGATTGTTTATTCTATGTGTAAATTGTTGTTTAGTCTACAATCCACAAACATGTTGATTCAGGACATGAATGTTGGAACGTCGTGGAACATCTTGAGACCAGAAACTGTTGAATCACTGTTTTACCTCTGGCGGTTAACTGGCAACAAGACATATCAAGAGTGGGGATGGAATATATTTGAAGCGTTTGAGAAGAACTCGCGTATAGAGTCTGGATATGTCGGTTTGAAAGATGTAAGCTTTCCTTAAACTCCTAATTAAATCCTGAATTGTTAAAACCTTGATGAATTGAATTATACCATTCCATCACCCCGCACCATTTATTTGTTAGCCGTGATGAAGTGGAATCCGATGGTAGATTCTTATATCCTTTCAACCATTTCCAGGTTAACACAGGCGTTAAGGACAACAAGATGCAAAGTTTCTTCCTTGCTGAGACGCTCAAGTATCTCTACCTCCTCTTCTCACCCACAACAGTCATTTCCTTGGACGAATGGGTATTCAACACAGAAGCTCATCCACTTAAGATTAATTCCCGTAAATATCCGGTAAATCGCAATCAATCCAACAGCGTGCTGCAAAGAAAACCGGCATTTAGAATACGCCAGAGGCACTATGGTCGGATAACAAAGAAGTAAAACTCCCTGGAGAGGGTCACACCGTCACAGTGTGAGATCATCATTTGTGATTCGTAGGAGGGAGGCTCCATGGATATATATCATAACTGAGTAACGGGATTTTAGCTTGGCTATTCAAAGACCTATTTATTTAAGGAACAATTTTTGAAAAGATTTCAAAGATATAGACACTTTTGTTGTAATATTTGGAACCAGAACCCAAACAGAAAGGTTTACCAATTACCACAGTTTACGCCTTGTGTTGTTGTTTTTGTATCATTAGATTATTATAAATCAAGAGCATTATTTTATGCTTTGTATTCTTGTGTTTATTGACTATTCCAGTAATGGAAGCAACCAAGAAAAGAAGAAGCAATTGCCATGAATGAGAGACCAAGTCTGTGAAAAGACTTAAGTGTTGACTAAATACTCCACGTCACACCAAAAAAAAGGAAGAAGAGTGACATGGCTGCTACCATAGTTGGTTTCAAAAATGACCACAGATTCTCTCACCAGCCTCAAGCAAACCTCACGACACGTTGTTTCTCCAACTCTACCAACACCATTCATTTCATTTCCCAATTTGCTAAAATAAAATTTAAACAAAAAAATCAGGCTCGTGTAATAATATTCTTTGAGGTGTGAACAAGGTGGTGAAGAGACCACTCTCATCAACCATGAACCATAAAACTCCACCGCTCTTCTCTCTCCCTCAATCATTTACATTTCTCTTCCTTAAATCTCTCTCTTCCCCCATCTTCATCATTCCCCAATCCTTCTCCACTTGTCTCTCTCATTTCTCTACCTGTGATCTGAGTCTTTGACAAGATGGTTAGCTTCTGCGAGCTCTGTAATGCCGAAGCTGATCTCCACTGCGCCGCCGACTCTGCTTTCCTCTGCCGTTCTTGCGACGCCAAGTTCCACGCCTCGAATTTCCTCTTCGCCCGCCATTTCCGACGCGTCATCTGCCCAAGCTGCAAATCCCTCACTCGAGACTTCGTCTCTGGCCCTCTCCTCCCTTGGCCTCCACGAACATCCTGCTGTTCTGATTCGTCCTCTTCTTCTTCTTCTTGCTGCTCTTCCCTCTCAAGCTCCGAGCTATCTTCGACGACGCGTGGCGTAAACAGAGCAGAGCGAGGAGGGGAACAGAGCATAGCGAAGGCTAATAAGAAGGCCGTTGCTGCGGTTACGGTCGCGGATGGCGTTTTTGTGAAGTGGTGCGATAAATTAGGACTAAACAGGGATTTGACAAACGCCGTCGTTTCGTATGCGTCTCTCGCTTTGGCTGTGGAGATGAGGCCGAGACCGAGAGCGACGAACAGAGTGGTCTTAGCGTCGGCGTTTTGGTTCGGCGTCAAGAACACGATGACGTGGCAGAGTTTGAAGAAAGTGGAAGATGTGACCGGGGTTGCAGCTGGGATGATTCGAGCGGTTGAAAGCAAAATGGCGCGTGCGATGACGCTGCAGCTTAGACGGTGGCGCGTGGATTCTGAGGAAGGATGGGCTGAAAACGACAACGTTTGAACAAAATTACAGCACTTTGCAAATTAGGACATTTATTTTAGTGGTTTAGTGATTAGTTTGAAGTTTGTGTCATAATTGACTTGTTGATTTCTCTTTTTTTCAACGTGTAAAATGGTCTTAAAGTGATGAACTAAAACGTTTAAAATCAATTTGTACTTTCTTTAAATCCCTTACAAAGAACGATTATTTTTATACTACTCAAACGATTCAAATTTCGTTATCTAACGTTTTTTAAAAACAAAAGAAAATTAATATTTATGTTATTATCACACAAATTTTATAAATTAAAAAGAAACTATTTTGTTCTTGTTTCAAATAAGATTCATTATTATCAACAACAAAGGATTAAGAGTAATTCCTAAGGTAATTAATTTCTCTAATCTTTATCTTTTACACAAAAAGAAAATAAAAAAGAAAAAGAAAAACCCTTTATATCGAGGTGGTGCGTTTACAAACCCTACTCTGGAAAAGTCCTAAATTCCTAAACTGTCCTTTCAACAAAGTCGACTGAAGAAGCATCTGAGGCATAGTGAAAAGATCGGACTCTTCAAGCTACAATCTTATTCTCCTCTGTATTGAATCTCACCATGGAAGCTCTCTTTACTTCAACACACATCCCCAATTTACAGACGAGGCCTCTCCTCAAATCTTCGCTGCCCACTTCTTCCCAGTCTTCTTCGTGCTGGTTGTGTAGTTCGCTTCCCAAAAGGCAATTCTCGAAGCTGAGAATCAGTAATGGATCAAGTCACGGGCTTCGTGTACAAGCTCTCTTACGTAACGAGACACCAAGTGAAGGCGAAGACAATATGGCTGAGAGTAGTGGGTTTGATTTTTTCTCTGGGGGTGTTTTCTCTTTATCACAGGTACTCTTTTTTTCTCTCTTTGGCTTTGTGATGACCACAAAAGATTATAACTTTTGTTGTGGGTATGCAATAATTCAGCAAAAGGTTACAATTTTGTCTACAAGACTTTGGTTTTAATGCAGAGTATGTGTAGAATCGAATCTTTAGATTAGTGCAAGGATGATTTTGAAGTAGGTAGTTTATTGGATGGTTTGCTTTGGCATATAGATTTAATAGCTTTTAATGTTGTGTGAAGGGAAATCTCGGGAGTAATCTCATTGGTGAAAGTTGTGTAATCGATGTGGAGGGGAGACCACAACTATCTCTTGACGATTTAGTCACGAGTAACCGAAAGGGAGAGGTTCTTGGCACAATCAAAGACTCGCTGTCAAATTGTCTCTCTGAGACGAATCTTCTAGAGACTGTTCCTGGTCTGAAATCTAGAATCAGGGGAAAGGTTGGCATTGTTTACTTTTTGTTTCATACCTGTATGAAAAGACCAAGCTTGTGCTAAACCTACATAATTGTTGATTTTAGAATTGAGAACTGATCAAGGTTGTAAAATTGATGTTGCAGGTCAGAGATATTTATGATGCTGGTGATTATCTGGTTCTTATTACAACTGATCGGTTGAGTGCATTCGACAGAAATCTTGCTTCAATTCCCTTCAAAGGCCAGGTTTGTTTTTCTTTATGTTTGTGCTCTATATTCAAGTTGGATAGCTTTACATCGTTGCCCACAATTTTTTTCTCGTTGGTCTGTAGATCAAACTGCAAGGAATAATAAGTTTGTGGTACTTTCAGGTTCTTAATGAGACAAGTTTGTGGTGGTTCAATAACACACAGCACATAACTCCAAATGCAATTGTTTCATCTCCTGATAGAAATGTTGTTATCGCAAAGAAATGCTCGGTTTTTCCCATAGAGTTTGTGGGTTAGTGTGTAATACCGAGTAACTTGTCAGACACTTCCCTATGCAGCCTCCATTTGCTTTAGTTCTAAGATGTTCTCTTATGTTTGTTTTTTGAAGTTAGAGGATATGTGACTGGAAGTACTGACACGTCATTATGGACGGTTTACAATAAAGGTGTTCGGAACTACTGTGGGAATGAGCTCTCAGATGGTACAGTTTCTTTTATTGCCATATATTAGTTGTCTTCTTCGTTAAATGCATCGTAGAATATCATTGATATGCTGATCACTAAATTATGCAGGATTAGTAAAAAACCAGAAGCTTCCAGCTAATATACTTACACCAACAACTAAGGCTGCGGATCATGATGTGCCCATCTCTCCAAATGAGGTCTAATAATCTGTTACAGT